GATAGTATTCGTTCTGTAGTTGATTTTTTAAATATTTACTATATGATTAATGTATTTCCCGTAAATGTATTATAATTACAGTTAAAATATAATTTTTTTCTTATATAATGTTTTGATATTTTTTTTTATAAAAAAGTGTACATACTTATTATATGTATATATTTAATAACTTAAAAATCCTTTCTATATTTATGAAGTTTAGTTTTCAGCACTATCTGTTTTGTCGGAGTTTTATTTTATTTATAGAGTGCAATCAATTGTTTTAATTGTTTAAGTACAATGGTTACGTTAGTATTATAAGTAATAAAATATTCAACGCAGTCTTAATGTTCCTTATTTAGTTTTTAATTGTGTAGGTTCTGTTTAAAACATGGTTAGCAATGTTGCCATTATTTCGCGAGTTTAAAATAAAATTGTTTTCAAGGAACACGCGTCATTACGCTTTATCAGATTTGATCGAGGTTGGCACATATTATATTCATCTATATTAATTATACGTATAATACATAGCATATTTTATACAATTTTCACTACAAATAATTATTGCAATGCCATATTTTACTTAACTGTATTGTTACGGACGGATTTTTACATTTTTCAATAGCTTTTATTTCTTAATTAGAAATTAAAAAAATATGCATTGTAAAATGAATACAAATTAAAAAAAGATACATGTATTACACACAATGTTTACTGAACTATTTGTTTATGAATAGCATACTATACTACATACAGTATATTAATATTTAGTTACTTTATTATTCATCTTTGATAGATTCAATTAAAAGCGAATAGTATAATATAGTATTTACGGTTCAAAAAATTAGCAATTGAATAATTAAAAAAGGTTTGAACATCATTTTTTATTAAATACATTTGTATACTCGTGTCTAATATTCATAGCCGCAATAATAACAGTTTTCTACATCCTAAGTATAAATAATTGCTTGGTAAATTAAATATTTACATTAAATACTTTTTTCTGACAAGAAAATGTATGCAGATATCATTACAGTGTATATATATTATACAGTACATGTATTATAGATATATAAGTACACAATTCAAATATATTTTTCCAACCCTAGAATATCTGAAAATAATTTGAATTCGATTCAAACGACGAATAACAGTATAATGTAATATTCTCGGAATAGATCGATTTTGAAGAATGATGCGTGTTGCTAATGAGCACCCATCGTTTTCTTTCTGATGATGTTATTTTTATTTTTCTTTAATCAATTTCTAGATTTTATTTATAATTTTGTTTTTTATATTTCTTGTATATATGTATATAATGTTCTGTACTCTAGGCCCAGGTCCATTTTGTTTTATAAAATAAAATAAAATGTTGACACTTTGACGGTATTCTTCGATTTTTAAATTATTCGCACTGACGAGTGTATATAAAATATTCATTGAAGTACATATTATTATCTATAAGTTTAATAAGGTCAAATTAAAATTATAATAATTAATGAAATCAAATAATAATGCCATTAGTTAGAATTGTCATTAGTTGTACATTAATATTTATATTAGTCATAATATTTCATAATATGTATACATTTTTTTTTGACAGTTTTCAGTGAGTTTTAAAATCTTTTTTGAAATTTAATTAGACGAATGTTCTGCAGTTATTATAATTATATGTATTTGTAATAATTTCTTTTGAAATGAATATAATTATGCTATTTATATACATGTATTAAGTATTTATAAGCTTTTAATATGCCTCGTTGTAATTGCGATGTTGTTGTCATAATATTTGCTAATATAATGTTCGTGATTAGTTAGAACATTTATGTAAAACGAAGTGAAATTGTCCTTGATAAACTAAAACTATTAAATGTAATTTAAAAAAAAAAAAATTGAAAAAAGTTTCCAATATTTTATGATATTTGTATTGTATACAATATAGTAATATTAACAAGAAAAGTTTTCAACATTTTGATTTTTTTTTTTTTCAAATAGCATTATATGCATTGGTGAAAACAAATAGCAAATAGGGAAAATTTCGGTTTATTTTATGCATCGTTAATTCTAAAACATACAGGACGTTATTATATTATTAGATTGGTGCCTTTAAATGTCCCGTCTAAAAACAATCGCAGAAAGCTGGAAGTATTTCGCACCGTGGGTAGGCCACTAAAGTAGGCGGAATGTTTAATTATTATAGAATGTGTGAATTATTCTGAGTAAAGTTGTATTAGTATTATAAGTCATTTTTTTTTTTATCCATTTGTTATCAGTTTTTTTAAATTGTATAAAAAAACTGTTAGGTTCTAAAAATTCTTTCCAAGTAAAACACTTGCGGGCGGAAATATCATATATTTAAATGTACCTAATGAGTGAAAAATGTTAACATTTCACTTAACAAATAAGTATTAAGAATTTTTATAAATTATATAAAAATGTACAACGATTTTCAATTTATTTTAATTGATTTTTTATTTTATTATAAAGAATTTCTTTTTAAATTAGATTCACATGATTGTTTGTAAAAATATAAAATGTTCACAAATATTTTTTTTTTAAGTGACTTTAATTTATGTACAAATCTTAAAACGGTCATTAATAATTTATAAAATATAATATTGCAATAATTTTATAGGTTGTGTTGCATAAACGTTCATTAGTGATTTACAGTGTCTAACTTACTATTCTCCTGTTAAACAAAATTGAGCGTTATTTGAACGCTCTCTAGCGTTAACGGGTCTGTAATTTCTTATCTATTGAACCTGTACTTACAGTTTCAATTTTGTGTCTGTAACTTTTACAGATTTGTTAGTTTATTGTGATAAGAATTGTATTATATATTGTGCTATATTGTGCAGCTTGGTTCTTTCCTCTCAAGGATGGTTTTTTTTTAACATTTACAAAATTACCCTAAAATTCATGTTAATTTTTACCTTGTCTAGACTACTGTAATTTATAATTAAGTCAACCAGTCATACAAATATTTTAATATTCTAAATTATGTTATTATGTGGAATTATCAATTCCGTTAATGTCGCTTTTTCTCATTCAGTAATTTTTTTTCCTTACCCTTTTTGGAGCCAACATCATGGCATAACATTAAAGAAATATTATAATATAAATTGTCGTTCGAATATTTTTTTAAAATATTTACTTATTATCAATATTATTTTTAATTGACACTCGAAAATGTCAGTTATTATTGTAATCAAATTAAATGTGGTATAATTTATTTGGTAACCATGGTCATTGTTTAAATAAAAATTTTTTATCCGGTTCAATTTTTACAACGGTTACAGATTTAGTTACAGGCACGTTAGTAAAGTTAAAGACTGATCTTTATGCAACTCACCCTTAATATACACCTATATTATTCAATCGATTATCAATGTAAATTTATAATTAAATCTGTAATATAAATACCAACTGCATTCGGTGCGAATAACACGTGTTGGTATAATCATCTTACACAGTAAAAATTTGTTTTTCAGGTTTTGACTTACTATTAAATGGTAGCTAGTAATTTATTGGCGTATGATTTTAAGAAAAATTTAAATATCTAGTGCCAACAAAACAAATCAGTATACTGATCTGAGGAGAGCTGTAATTCTATTCTATTGGATTTTGAATACAACTCAATTATAATGTTAAAAATGTTATCTTATAAAAATACAATAAAAAAACTTTTACTAAAATGTTCAGTACACACGTTATTGGTTTTATATAAATTCTGTTTGAAATTATTGGCCATAATTATTGAACGTGGAAAATTGTTCATTTCGACATATTATGTTCGTTTTGCCACTGTGTGGGTTATGGGTGTACATAGCTTGTAAAATTTGTGAAGTAAATAAGGGAAGAAGCAGTTTTAAAATTTCTATAATTATATATTAGTTTAGTTACATATTTGGTACATTATCTTTTCCACATTCGATATGTTTTGTAGAACTTCTAAAACTTCTTAAAATACCTAAGACCAGCTGGGTTACGTTTTGGCTTGGCCCGAACTCGGACGGGGTCTATAAATACGCTACTCGGTATTCGCAGAGGATGTATACGTATAGTATTTTTTTTTTCAGACTTAGGTTGACTTATAAAAAATAACTAGGTTCTCTACGTATTACATATTCAATACGAATACAAATAAAATACTTTAAAATGAAATTGAATATAATAATATGAATATTCTGAAAATGAACGGACATTCATATTACCTGCACTGATAATTTTTGTGAGAAAATAATATTAGTTTTACGGCATCCTAAAGTGCGATTATTCTTTGACATTTTAAAGTACAACTAAATTTTGTATACTGATAAGTCACGGTTCGGAAACGTACATAAGAACTACATAAGTCAATGTTGATTGAGTATTTTTTAACTATTGATTATACTATTTTTTATACATTTTATAAAGCGTTTATATATTTTTAAGATAAATAGGGCAAACGGATAGTAAACATGGTACACGCATTTAAAAAAAAAAAAAAAATAGAAGACCAACTCGATTTCTAATAATATATTTTAACATTATCATAGATAATACAGTTCAAATATGATAATTATTGTGATGACGTACAAATCGACAATTATCAATTAAATAAACGATAGAAAAGACTACGTCATGTTCAAGTTGTTGTTCGGCAGTAGATTATTCTTAGATACTACATGTAAAAATTATAATATTTTTATTGTTAAACGATATTATAGAAATACAGGGTGTCCTACAGTGTTTTCGTTATACTAATAATTTTTTCAGTTTTCATTTTTTTTTTTGAATCGGATTTTGTGTGAGAAGAACTTAATTTTAGAGAAAAATTTAATTTTTATTTTCATCCCCTAATTATTGAAAAAAAAAATAACTTTATTTTATCATTTTAAAAATAGCCATTTTGTAAAAGATATTGTTCTAAATTGTTAAATGTAATATACATTCATATATGATAAACACTTTCATAGTTATAACGATAGAATAAAATGTTTTTTCCAGTGGTTAAGGGATGAAAATAAAAAATTATTTTTCTCTGCATAAGTGTTCCTTTCGCATAAAATCGATTGAAAAAAAAAAAATTAATTAAAACAAAAATTAATATTGACAGGTTTATCAACATAAAGAGAACACTGTAGGGTACCCTGTATATTGTTTCTGTGATTGATTTAAGATATGCGTACATAATTAATAACTATTAAAACAAAGACGTTCAGGAATTTAAACAAAAGTTGTTTTTAAAAATATGTTACACTCTTAAAAACAATTTTTTTTTTATGCATTCTTTTTGATTTTATATTTAGTGGTATATTATTTTTTCGTTTCTGCTGTTTTATAATTTGAAGATTTTTAAACCAATACCGTCCGTATTTATACAAGGTATTCATATACTTACCCAGTGTATCACAAAAATCTGATACCTGAAAAATTACATTAGTTTTTTATTTGTAAGATTTTATTTCGTATAATTAATAAATACGTTTTTAGCGCTTAGGTTATGATTTATCTCTTTCAAATATTTATAACTAAAAATAAGAAATTAAATTTTTTTACTTTATCTAAGACCATTTTATAAAGATCATTTGAATACAAAATGTTGGTATGACTTATGTTTACAAACGATGAATTGTTAAGTTTCTATATATTTTTGAAATGGACAAAAATCATCAAATATATTATTATTTTTGATGGAATAATTGTTAAATCGACTGATATTATTTTGTAGCGGAAATTAAAACATTTACACTATCTACTTTAAAAAACTATAGACATTTAACGATTTATCGTAAGTAAATTTAATATACAATATCAAAAAAATTGTGTTTCAATTTGTATGTATTAAAATCGCTATCATTGATTTCGTAAACAGTTTAATATTTTATTTTTGATTTTAAAAATTATATGCAAATAAAAATAAAGGAATTATTTATTTAATTATTTGTGTTCATTTAAATGTACACAACTGACGCAACGATACAACTCACTACTGCACAAGTACACAAAATGTACATATAGTCGTGTCATTATATGTTCTTAGAAAGTAAAATAACGTTAATTAAGTATACTTTCCCCATTCGAGAAATATTCCCGGAAAATTCTATGATTTTTCATTTCCGGAAAAGTGCCCGTCCTTACTCTTGAATTGTGCCCGGTCAATTTACGAACATTTAGTTTATTAAAATGTTCAATTTAACATAACCCAAAAAGTTCGGGCATTGTGTTATAATTGGCGGACTTTCTACTTTTCCTGTAATACGGTGCGTAGTTGAAAAAAAATACATGTATATTTTTTCTTAGTTCTGAGAGGACCGATGAATGCAATGGTTTTACTATGTTATACGTGTGTGATTTTTAAAATATTTTTGTTCGATGTAAAAATAATTTATACAGATAATTTGATAATTTATGATTCTAGTGGCTCTAGAATGTTATATTAATATTTTTCTTGTCGCCCTACACTACCTACATTTATTTATCAAATAATAACTTATAAAAAAAATTCAAAATCCAACATGGCATTATTGAAACGATAATTGTATCAATGTAATTTTAGTTAAACGAAATTATGAGTTAAATTATTATTCGAACTAGACTGGTAGTTGAATATTTGATATAACAGTCGGTAACACGAAAACCAAAATAGTTGTGAAACTTTATACAATTAAATATTTGAGTCATACTGTATGGTTATAAAAATATTAGTAGGTAATCGTTTTTTCTAAAACTAGAATTTAATGAAAGGTACATTAATAAATGATTCAAGTTTACAAATTATTTTTAAAATTTGAAATTCAGTGTCTTTAATTAAAATTACACATTTTTTTTTTATTCCAGTAAAAGGAAATTATTTTAAATAGGTTGGAGTCATCATCTATGACCACCTTTCACACACTTATCTCTGTTATTTTGTCGACGTTTATCAAAATCAATTGAAAATGTAACTGTGTTTACTCTAAAATTGACTCAATATTTGGTTAATATTTTATAGCCAAATGAAAAATACTGTATGAGATATAATTTTTACTTTTTAAACGTTAATTTTCACCTTCCGTGGTCATATTATGCTATCTATATGTATGTAATAATTAGCATCACCCAGTAAATTAATTAATGAAGATGAATACAACAATTACTATATGGAATATCAAATAAGAAGATTATACTATTGACGAATAAAATACAAATATCATAGCAGGATACTGGTTATGATCAGTTGAGTGGTGACTCAACTCGTGATTTAATTGATTTAACATTAATAATTATCTCATTATTTTATATTTATATTTAATATATTATTATATTAATATATTTTATTGAATATTCATTAAATTTTAATTAAAAATGAATAATATATTTTTGAAATGATAAAATATGATTAATAATTTTGAATACAGTCTCAGTTTTTAATCTAAATCTCAATATTTGACAAATATATAACATAAATTGTTTACATGAATACGTGAAATATATATTTATTACTTGTATGCTAATACGAATACTTTGATAAAATACTACACCAGAACAATTTTTTGGTAGTACCTGTATAATAAATTTTTTATTATGGTTCTTTAAGAAAAGAACCATAAAGAAAAGAAGAGAAGACTCTTGATTGGCAGAGCCGTTTTTATTGACAATATTAGTTCATGAACAAGCCTCAATAATTTTGTTAGTAAAACATCGAAGTAGCTAAATTGCCTATATATATCGCCGTGTTAATTCGAAATACATAATATATTATTATACATCTATTATAGTTCATATTAGTGTCGGATAATGGTAATTTTATCAAATTTCTTTGAAGGGGCAGTGCCCACGTCTATTGTGGGTGTATCTATCTATAATGTTTTGCTTTACCAGAAAAATTGACTTCGGCGCCACTGAGTCAAATAATAATACTTACATTACTAAAAATATACTTGTTTACACGGTAGATTCGTCAAAATTAATAATTATCGTTTTATCAAATACAACCAAGTATTCCACAGTTATCGCTGTCGGTTATAATTTCTTTAGCTATTAATTGATGTAAAGAATATCAACCCGTTAGGCTGTAAACAAGAGCATAGGTCATCGTTGAGCGAAAAAAATTACTGCACACATATTAGCTAGATAATGGTAGTTTTCACATGGATGCGAATAAACACGCGCAGATCGATGTTTTTTATTTGTCTGCTTCACATTGCTCTATAATATAGTTACGCCACCGTACAACCCAGAGTCAATAGTGCGGGGAGATATAAGTCTGAGATGTATGACACGCTTGCTGTATACACGATAAAATTGTCATGTGTCATGCTGTACCAATCAAAAATATGGTAAAAATATGGTAAATTATGCATTTTTTAACACCCTGAAGTCTTTTTGTACGATTTATTTTACCTTTTTTTCTTTTTTAACATCAAAACATGAATAAAAAATAAGTCGCGTTTTGATACGCGTCGTATGCACCGTTCTCAATATTATTATAATAAAATCCTTCAAAAAATAAGTTATTTTTGGGCACCATACTTCAGGACGCAAATCAAGGCACAACATGATATTACGGGTGTTGTTCGCATTTGTTGAGTTTTTAGATTATTTTAATCGCACTAGGATTGTCAGGTTGTGAACAAAAAATGTATCTAACATGATACATTTCCACAAAGTAGTATAGGTTTGTAAGTTCTAGAGCACAAATAAACGTCCCACGAACAAGCAAGAATTTTGCCTTTTTTTAGACCTCTATTTGAGGATATATGCTATACATTACGATTTGTTTCTAATCTTTTAATTTTAGATTGGAGGAGAGTAGTGGTACATTACTAACACACCGCGCGCCGTACCACTACACAATTAATACTTCACTACTCTTCTCCAACCAAAACTTAAAAGTGGAATTATTCGTCAACTACTTGACAGAAGTCAAATATTTCTACACTAAAATGTATATTTACTAGTACACCATCTAGTTATGGAACTTTATAAAAGATCACTATTTGAAAATCAAAAGTAGATATTAGTTTTACTCCCGAAAATAAGGGTGACAAAAATTAATATAAATATAAAATTGTAGAGCAGCTTGTTTCGTAATTGTTCTAGATACCAAATTCCGGAAAAAGTTAATCCTTTTTGAGAAAAATAGTGTACCCACTTAAATGAATCACCTGGTAGAGTAAAACAAATTTTGAATTGTATAGAGTTAATGTTTATTAATGTTTCTTGAATATTCAATTAAAGTTTGTATATCATATAAATATAGATAAAATCATCTGTTTCAATTAAAATGCGCGCAGTGTTTATTTTAGACCTTCATTTCCGGTGGGTTATCGTAAATATTCAAAGGGGTTTGTCAAATGCAGATGTGAATCTAAGAATTTTTACACCCAAGAAAAAAATTAAGAAAATACGCCTAATGGTGAATTTTTTTCTAGCCTGTTAAAATACGGTTATTTATATAACATAATGTTTTTTTTTATTTCCTAATCAACAAGATAACTCATAATTGGCTCGTCACTCATTATACTTAGTATATTAAATTTTGTTTATGTAGTAATATTATACATTTTTAGGGTGTGGTTTTCATTTTTTTGTGGGAGGTAACACCCCTCTCCCCGATCATACTCTGAAATAAACATTGAATGCGTGTTAATTAACAGATGATTTATGTTTTTTTAGTTGGTAGTTGTATAATGTCAAATTTGATCGTTTATTAATACTAATGTGAATTTTAATTGGAATGAATATGAAGATTAGCGTTTCTACGTATTTTATGTAAATCAATATTAATTTGAAAGTATAAAATATTTGCTGAAATACCTACGCTTAATATTATCGTGTGTTCAAATAACATCGATGATCGCTGTGTTGTACGGGAGATATTATCTTTGTAACTATAGAAACATTATTACTAAACCGCAAATTTAGTATTATTTGCAGATGTAAAATTAACATAGGTAATAAACAACAAATTCGATTTTGAAATTTATTAAAATGTTGCAAAAGGGATATTATTTTAAATTTAATATAATGTATACTATTGGTAGCAAAACAATGAAAACAAATATATTGCCAATTGTATAACAATAGAACAATTTTTATAACTGTTCATTTTAATAAAATATACATTATTAGGTATAAATATAAGAATAAAGTTAAATAAAACGATGAATTTACATTTGTTTTGCAGATTAGCTTGCAGTATGTGTATTGAACGGTATATTTAACTGTAAATCACTCTCAGAGCTAACATTTATTACTTTTTT